GCTAGCAATTCAATCTAAGCGAATGTCACAATAAATGTCCTACCACTAATGAAGCAGATAAGGGTGTAAAAGGTGAAGTAATTATGATCTAGAATTTGAATTTTCCTCAGAAAGCGGAAGGTGTCAATAGTAGCGAGTATCGCAGATTTGAATATTTGGATGTGGTTGGCTGAAAAATAAATTCGCAATTGCTATTCATACGTGATATCAGCTTGTATTTAGGCAACGCGCCACAGACCCTTGTGTTTTTCGAACAAGACTAGCAAAAGAGAGAAATAACACCAAATACGCGCAGACGAACGACTGTTTCTAGCTGACACAGACACAGACACTGCCTTGGTGTGTGAAGTAAAGCAGTCGTGTGTGTAATAAGGTTTATGCGTATACGGGACTCATCAGGGCTCCCGGTTCTCAAAAAGTGAGCTGAAAACTGGCTTTCTGGCTAGCTGCAATGCCTTTTCGTCGTCTCAGAACAGCAGTCGGATCCAGTCCGATAATGAGCCAGAAGATTTTCCGGGACCTTAGCTAAGTACAGATAGAAGGGGCGATGGACTAAGCAGAGCGAATATAAGCTTCTATCCAGAGCCTTTACGAGCAGGTGATGAACCTGTAGCAAAAAGGAGCTACTAATCGGTGCGGCGGCTGAGCTCGTCGCGTCAGTCGATGACTGTAGCAACTGTTGGTGCCGGTGGTAGAAAAAAACACTGAAAGGGCATCAGCGAGACGATATGGGCAAAATGGGACTAGCGTGCGAAGAGAAACTACAACTGAAGCTAAAGAAAAACAGAAGAGTTTAGACGAAAGCTGAACAGAAGAAAGCAATCAAGTATAGACTCGGCCAACGAACCGGCTACTGCCCAGGAAAGAAGGTAATCGACCCACTCGCTTATCGCATTTCTTCCGTACAAACGAACAGACGGAATTCAGGGACCAAACAACAGAGTAATGGGCAGGGTTACTTCTTTACTACAGAAGCACTTGTTTAACAGTCAGCCGCTTGCGTCTTGCCTTTCTTGACCTCGAAACCTTCACCGACCCACTCCCCTCCCTCTCTCCTCAACGGCTGTTTCCATAGAATGGGGCATTGGCGGCGGCCGTATGTGTAGTGAGGGGAGTAAACAAACAGCGTAGCAATGTGGAAAACCGGACGGTCATCACGACGAGTTAGAGACAGCTACTGTAAGTAATAGTGCCCTGTCGACCTTCAGCTAAATGTCAAGCGATTAAACATTGATCCGAGGTGAATACCGCTTTTCTATTCGTGTGCATTTGATTTTCTAGGAAAAACTTCCGTTTTCCATTGATCGTGGTCGCGAAGCCCATTCGGCAGGAGCGGAGACGAATGTAATACTTTCTGTGTCCAAATGGACTGTACCATAAGCTCCGGTAAAAGAGACGTTTCTTGTAGTTCGACTGAAATACCCTTTCAAAGAACGTTTCATGTTGATTTTTATTTCAAATCGAGTAGCGATTGGCGCGGTTGAAAACGGCGTATTCGTAAATAAGGAATTATTATAAAAGGCATACTATTAAATGAACCATTCACATCTAGATAAGGATGGTGCCCTACTCAAATTGGCAAAACGAGAAAACCAATCAGGAAGAAAACAACAAATCAGCGACAAAGCGGAGACGGCATTACAAGGGATGCAGCCCTCTCCTCAGAGCAGACCTTCTATTATGAAAAAGTACTGCTTGAATTGGCGATAGAAATAATCATGACACTGACATATATCATTCTCTTTAGCCCCTTCAGAAGCCAATAGGTTAGGCACTGCTCTGATCACTTTAAGCCAAGTGTACCAAAAATCACTAGGCAATCGAGTTGCAGATTCAGCGTTGGCATATCAATATGAACCCTATACTATCTAGCATAAACAACAGCGCATTTGTAACAGAAAAGCGTTTTCTACAATATGACGGCATCTATTGGAACACAACTAAATCTCGACCTATTATTTAACCAACATCGATTAACAAATTCAAATCGTGCCCTCACATGCGTCACGCACAGAACATCTGCTAAGGCCAAATCTCTGCCAGGTGTACGAAAAATCTACAAATAAGACGGCTCTTCAAGTATTCTATTAAATATGGGCCTTTATTAGGCCGTGGAAGATGTGTTGACTGTCAAGACGAAGTTGAAACTTTTCTTGCGTTTAAAATTAATATCACTAAATGACATATGTGTCTTTCTGATCGATGGCCTTCTGCCATTTTTCTGCTCTACCATAGCGGCACAACTGTAGAACTGAATGAAAAATTGTCACAATTTTTTGCATCCTTCTATTGAAATTGAATTAACACCAATAAGAGGGTTCCGCAGAGATCGATACAGCGATCGTATAACGATGTTATGATCCGAAATCTCTCAATTCTTGCCGGGCAGATAAAATGTATACGGTCCGACGTTACTATGGTGGAAGACGATGCCTTTTGTATCTACTGGTTCCGGTCGATTTTTTCACTGGCTTGTTGCACATTTGCTAGCTGTTAGCTAGCAGTAGAGGCCCGAATCAATAGTTTTACTAGATTGTGGGACGCATTTTTTTTGTTTGTGCACTGTTGTCGTGTATGATCCATTTCTTACGACCCGTGTTCAACCACTTCAGAAATGGGTCAATTCCGTTATATTTCTGTGGAGCTTCGTAAATCAAAATATGACAGAGTAAACTCTTTTGCGTCAATTCGCGCAGTATCCAAATGTCAAGCTTTTTCTAGCCAGACAGCCAAAACTGTCGGTGTCTTAGTTTTTTTTTTGGCGATATTATACTTACTCACGTGTAAGCTTTACCCAACCTTCACGATAGTTGAATGAATTTATCCCATAATTGATCGACTAAACAGCGCTCTTCACATCGAAATTTCCAGAAGAAAAATGACAAACCAGTCTCTGCGTTGTTCCTTCCTATAACACAACTGTACCATAAATAGCGTATTTTTTTTTTGTAGGCCTGGGCAAAGTCCTAATAAAATTCTAAAATATAACTATTTTCTCTGGAAAGTATCTTCTAGACGCTCTCATAGAATAAATACCCTTTTTGATTTTAACACATCTCGTAACACCGAACCTCGGCTTTTAAATGACACCGAGACAGCGCTGATTATGACAAAGCTGAGATATGTAACTTCAAAGATATCCTGCCAGAAAGAAATGTCGCAATATTTATGGACTTAATACAAAGTTACTCTGCTTCCTGCAACCTATCAATTACCAACACTACAATAGTCGACTGAAATTACGACAGCAACGCTCAAGTTGGCTTTGCGGCAGTGAAACGGCTCTGTGGAGGTACATTATAAGCAGTACCAATGTTTCCAGTCATGTCGCCTGCGAGAGGAGCGACTGGGTGATGATAGTGGCAGTGAGAACCTGTTATTTCCTGAGATGATACCCGTGGTGTCTCCAAACAATAGCACTCGCTGCAATATTTCTGAACCTAAGCCATATTCTGTAGGGCCAAAGTATGGAGGAAAGGCAGAAAGACGGTTCTTGGAAGAGGCATCCGTGGCGTTGAAAATCGACGTGAGACGGCTTGATGTTGGTCGATGGAATCGGCCTCGGCCGTTAACACAACCCTGTTAATGAGTTTTGCGACTATTCCTTGGCTGGCTGCTTGACTGGACGCCTCAGACTGTCAGTGAGGAAGCCGACCTCGCCGCCATCTCGATTGCTTGGGATTTTGTTGCCGACCTGTTCTTGTTCTACCGGAAGCAGTAACGTACTGAGTGCGATATATTGCAACATGGTATGCATACGCATGCGCCGTAACCGATATTATACGTCCTTACGCCCCTGACCCCCATGTTCTTTATCTTCGACGAGTCTATGAGGAAGTGCGAGTGGATTAGTAACGGTATTACTACTATTTTGTGCTAAGTAACATCAATGGCATTGAGGATTGCTCGTCGAGAGCGTTTTGTTGAAGCGGCCAACAGCCAGAGCGGGAAACCGCCGCGTAATACGGTAACGTAAACGCGAAACGCAGCTAAAATATCCCAGCAGAAACGGTGCTGATCTAAGCTATATGTTATTTAAGTATCTACGATATCTAAAACGATTGGAGAGTAGTAAATATCACGTGAGACGGAACACAATGTTCCCAACCATTTAAATGTGTATGCAGATCACGTGTGTAGGCGTACCTCTGTAAAAAGCGAAGTTGGCGCGACGCTTATTATTAGTACCGTTCTGATACAGGAGGCCAATCGCAGGCCTATGGGCGCACGTCCTGGATCCATGTGCAAATTTAACTGTCTGTCTTTCTGCGTCGTCTTCGAAAAATTCGAATTTCTCTTCTACTCGCGTTAGTCATTCCCGTAAGGAGTGAAAATGACATGTCCTTGTTGCATGTCTAAGTTGTGCAATTCGCAACTTCCGTTCTACCGTAGTGACCTAAATGCGAAGCAAATAAATGGACCGTCGCGGTATTCCATCGTCGGTGCTCAAAGCGCGAGCAGCGTTTCAAGCCGGCATTTCGTATTCGATTCCGTTACTGAATCCCTGTTGGCCTCTTATGGAGTACGTTGTGATTTACCTGGTGCACACTCAGAGTGGGCCAATATCTGCCTCTGGTAATTTCGTGTGTGTAGACCATTCCATCGCAGTGTTTGAGCTGATCTAGTCCTGCGCAAAGCTAACTGGATATGTAGTGTATGAGCTTTGTGACGTAACCAACAAATAATGGAATGGCCTCAGCTTCTCTTTTGGATCAATTAATTGATCATTTCTAAAGAAAGAACAAACTATACTGAACACCCTGTTTATTAACCAGTCTGTCATAATTTTAGGATATTTTGAGTAGCTTCGTACGTAGCGAAATTGTGCGCGATAGAAGTGTATGTCACTAGTTTCACTTATCAAAAACTGGTCCTGGTACCAGATAGCGATTCCGTATCGAACTAGTCGAGCAATTTTTCCATGTTATTATGTCAAATGGTATGGGGCGCTATGTTTTATACGATTGTCTGTTTTTGGCGGTCGAATATTGCATTTTCAGCGTCGGGCGACAACTGTGCATCGGACGAGGGTACGCTCTGCATGGCAACCTTGCATACGCTACAAGCGAAGGACGGCGGCGATGTGACGAAGCTAACCGTACCTGAGTTGGTAGCGAGGTGCGCTGAATTACGCCGAAATGTCGCGTGTCTTCTAACTCACACACAGCGTTGCATTGCGCTTCCAGAAAAACGTGACCAGCATGCCAAAGTAATTATTGAAGCACGAAAGTACATTGCCACGACTTGCGAGGCTGACGAATCAGTAAAAGGTTAGTATTAATAATGACCCATTTCGAAATTCGTGAAGAACTATGATTATATTCATATTAATAATAATGATAATCATCCGGACAATATTGCCATCATATATTATAGATCGTTTCACGGGCGTAATTTAGTTTTTAAAATGCTCTCTATAATCCATGCAGATGCCTTATGTCACGTCTTTTTCCTCTCGTCATTTTTATTCAGACTTACTTTGCGGACACGTATTAGTGCAGTAAGCTTGATGTACCTGTAGCTCCCGATCATGCAAAGTGAAGGTTATCGTTCGACAACAATTAAGTATAAGATGTATTTGACACAACTTTCTTATATATCGGTGGTTACTTTGTAACTTCGAACTGTCCGGATAGGGAAGCCGGATCCTGTGAAGTCGATTCGCAAAGATCTGATGGTATACGTTTATTGGATGCATTCTAGCACTGAGTAACCCATACAGATTGATGATGACTGATTAATAAACGCGTTGCTTAAATACCACTGTACGTCTAACCCAATACAGGTCACATAAAAGTTTTCACTGATCTTACAGACAACCAACGAGGAAGCCGACATATCACCTACATAGACAATCAGGCCACTGCTATCGTTTTCTAGCAAAAAGATTTGTGTTTCTACGGTTATATACAATCTGAACATATCACGATTGGCCTCGAGGATTTCAAGAAGCGTGTTTAAGCCAAGTCAGTATAATAGAAACCCAAGATTCGAAAGCAAGTGAGATAGGACTCGTGAGCGGAGCAAATGCAAGACCGAGCAGAATATGTAAATTCTTCGTTGGCCCAGCAAGGGTCTTGTACGTTTATTCTTTCCTGCTTTCACAACTATTGCTTCTATCGTTTCTACGTTATTCCACCGTTTTGTGGTTTGTCTTCGGTTAAGCGGACAGCGGAGTTGATCGGCGACAGTGGCGGACGTAGAGCACCTTTGGGCTGGATCAACGATAGAAAGGTCTTCCCGGTCTTTCTCTCGACCCTTACAACCCCGAACAATTCACTCAAGCCCACCTAGATATATACGGTTGAAGTTATCTTTAACTTGCCGTTATCCTCTTTGGTTAGGCCATAAACCTAGGAAAATAGCGGGTTTACAAAGACTTATTTGTGGGTACGGGTGTATCCAGCTGGATAAAACCGATACATTGAGTTCGGGAAGTCTCAGAAAGAAAACATGGATCTCTGGTGTCGAATGAATGAGCGGGGATGGCGTCCAGCAAAAGGTTTAAGAAGGCTGAGGCACCGTAGATTATCCGCCTACATTACCTTTATTCGTTACTTCTTAACTATACCCGCGCTCTTTTCTCTAGTATGTAGCTCCTTAAAATATCTGTTCGTAACAGTGCCGTCAAACTAGAGGGAGCACGATGATATCGATGAGTAGTACTAACAGTAGTGGTAGTAGACGAAGTAGCAACAGATTTGAGTAAAGGCGGAACATTCGGACAGGGAAAAAGCAGAACAATCAGAAATAGAGGCGGCAATTATCCTTGCTAGGAGAAGAGACCCAGTGGGCAGTGTCAGTAGCAGCCGTTACTCTCTAAATTAGGGAAACTGGTCCGCCGCGTGAATTGATTGAACTTTTAGTTGATGACTAACCTCGTCATTGTATTAGCAAGGTTCCGTGATGCGCTTCGATCATCATCCGGGGTTCGATAATTTGGCGGACGCTGAATGAGTGGGATCGAAGTGAAAGATATTAAGTACAGTAGAAAAAAATTAAGGGTACCTTTGAGGGTTCAGATTCCTCTTTACAGTGCTCCTTTCAGTTGCCTTATTTAGCCTTGCTTAGTTTTTACTTCGATCGCAGTGCAAAATATATGCTAGGTATGGTGGACATAACGAGCAGTTAAGACGTCGACAAGGACTTATATACACGATAATGACTCGTATACATGAGATTCAACGCAAGGCGACGAGTAAGCCGTATAGTGATCGTAACAAACAAAATTAAAAGAAAGTAGAGTAGAAAAAGGTAGACAGATAGTTAAGAGAACAAGGTACGATTTGCAGATCCGCAGTTCGCCATTTTGTACTTATCTTTGCAAGAATTCCTTGAGGGATAAAAGCGATTCGCGCTCTTGTACACGAGTGGGACCGCTGATACGATTGATATCCGAGGCTTGGACATCGCCAAAGCGTTGGCTGCCTACTATCCTTATTGACTTTTGTTCTGATTGCTGTTTGAAACTAAAATGAGTACGTTGGGATTCGTGCTCGCTGGAGTAACTTCTCTCAGCTTTTTCTCTTCGTTGAGTACTTTTCTCGTTATCGACCCTCTTTTCCCTTCAGGTTTATGTAATATATTAAATGAACCTGCAGTGCGCCGTATACTTTACATACTCTACTTCCACGGTATAGTTAACCAAGTAGCGCTCGAGATAACTATGTATGTACAAGGAATTTGTCGAAATCTTGTTTTGCTTAGTCCACCGTTTGCCGTCTGAACAAACGCATTATCCTGACGTTCGTTTCTATTTATCCACGGCTGCTAAGTGGCTGTCAGTTCGGCAGTGGCGAAACTCTTCTTGGCTCGTCTCCTTATTGAAGCTGCGCAAATCACGTAGAAGAAGGTAGTCAGGACATTGGTCTTTAAGCGGGCGACTATTCGGAAGGGGCAAGCAGCGCAATACGGAATAGAAGCCATGGAGAAGGAACATGTATCTTGCTTCGAGGAATCTCTTATGGCCCGCTCCTAATACCTGCTCCTCCCGCTGGGGCATACTCGTGTGGGGCTACCGGATATACGTGGCAGTTGAATTAGTTAAGTTAAATTTGCGTGAGGTGATTTCTCCTGGGACGCAGTGTCTTCATGTTCTTCTTCGTCTTGTTCTGCGTCATGCAACGACGCCGCTTCCGACGTCTTTCCTAAACCCCTGCCTTCACCATCTCGTCCTGTTTCTTGCTGTGGTGGTAACGTTTTGATCTATATGGGCTAGGCTTTCGGTCTAATTGAGGGCGACCTAGTTCCCAGTTTTCTCACTCCAGCCAAACCCAACCTAGTATGCCTTGGTTTGCACCTCTTGAATGTAAACGCGCTGTGTGTCTAGTTCATGGGCGAAATGTTCTTTCACAACCCTTTTGTCCACGTATGTGTATATAATATATGTATGGTTGCTGCTGTTTGTAGCTAGTAGGCGTTGTTTTGCGGAATGTCTACAGCTCATCACATACCTCATTCTTGCTTAATACCACATACACAGGAACTTTATGTCTGTTCTCTTCCTCTCTTCTACATTCTACTATTGTACATCTCATTCTATGCTCGTTTTCCTCTTCGGCTTGCTCCAGTATCCAATGCATTTCGTCAATCGCCGATGCGGTCGGAGTACTTTTTACGTCTACTAATGTTTTCTACTACTGGCGGCGTCTGTATGACGCTGCTCGTGCAGCTACAACGGCTGGCTGCAACGCCTGCCTACTTAACAGGACCTGATGGCCAAAGTGGTCGATGTTTCACGCAGCCGGGTGCACAGCGCTCGAAAAGCAATAGGTGGCATTAGGCTGTCAACCCTTTTGAGATCTATACTTACCCGGCAGGCTGCCGGTCCGTCTATGAGTTCGAAAAGAAATGTCGCTTCTGTACTTGTTTGGTAGTTTCTGCTATTGTCGCCGCAGCTGGTGCCGCAGCTGGTGCCGCAGCCACTAGTTCGACAGCAAAGCGGAGGTATATGGTTCCAGGACACAGGTAGAAAATTTATTTAAAGCTTATTGTTCGCTTGACGTGGGGATTCGGGAGGGTTAGTCGGATCTGATTACCTGAAGGTCCCTTGAGCAGATCAGTTGGACTCGTACTGACATTGCTTACCTCGTGCTTTTTGCGTGCTCATCACGCCTAGCTTTTTCTTTTTTTGTATCTGCAATATCATTTGCATTTCGGACAATGTGGCGTCAGTCAGATGCTCTAATGGCTATGGCTGCTGCTTTTGCCTAAGTCGGTCATTGTAAAAAAAAACACGGGAAAGATACACTGTCGACACCAAATGCTCCTTAGGTAAGTGGCAGAGACAGAAGCCGACCGAATGGTCAGCAGAATATAACGACTTCAAACGATACTATCAAGTCTAAAGGAAGTCACGAACTTAGCACAGAACGAAGTGCTTGCCTACTCTTTCCTTGTGCTTTCATCCCCTTTTTGGCTATTCCTGGAAGCCCTTGTAGCTTACCTCATTACTGTCCCAATGCTTCTGCGATACGTCTCTACCGACTCGATGCAGAATTTAAACAACGGTCCGGAGGACAGTAGCAACAATCAAGTTTGTTTCTGGTCAACTTTGCTTTTTTTCCAGGTTGGCGTTGCGTACTAGGTGGCTGCTATCTTATTTGGCAGTTGGCTCCTGCAACTCGAATTTCCAATGCCTCGAAGGGTTAGAGAACCAGGTAAAGGAAGTTCGCATGCTAGGTTGAAAAGCGAGGCAAAGAACAAAAATAGCGGAGCAGAGCGAAGAAATGGGTTTTTTAATGATAGCTGATTGTGTATCCAATCTGCTTAGATCAGTCAGTTCGCCTCCAGCACGTCCCTGCTGCTTGGGTTACTAGTCCGTTGACCGGATGGCTGTTAGCCTGCTTTCGGCCTATTGTCGGCCTGCCGTTAGCCATCTGGCGGAGACAAAGCCTGCTAGCTGGTTTCTGTATAGGCACATAGCCACTGGGATGGGTTTCTAAAACGGACACTCGATGAGTTCGTGGTGGAGGCCGCTATAAATTTTAATTAGTGCGTCAGTTGGATGGTTCGGCAAATGGTTAATGAGGACAAGGGAAAACAATAAGCGGAAATATGGATGGCCTACGATAAAATCTGATGCGTAATTATGGTATGTCGTACACTGATGATTTCTTTATTGATTTTATTTGGTTTCAGCCCATTGGAAGGATAACAAGTGCTACCGACAGGCTTTACTGCAACGTTGCGATCGCGAGTTTCAGGATCTAACGCAGCAACACAAGACACCCAGCAATACACCTACGAACCCGCAATGCGAGTGGGTATAGTAGACCCAGTTTTTAGATTAAACCTTTATTAATATTATTATTTTATAATAATTGTGCAATAAAATAGCAAAACGAATACGAAAACTATATACTTTTAAGTAAAACAACTATAATGAAATATTGGACGTTTGAACTTTGGTAGCAGGGTGTCCTGTCGGTATATGTTCTGTTCGTTTGCGATTCCCCTAATGAAGACACCTTATTTTCGACACTATCCTGTTGCTTCTATCTTCCATATTCTCTATCAATTTGGCTTTGTCGAATGGAATTATTTACGCTCGCTGCTGCAGGATCAATGATGACCATTCACGCTATACCTCTTCCACACAGAATCTTCCGGCAATACCAATCGTGCGTCCAACGCATGGTGGCGTCATGCAGCGACGACAGCGGACAGTTCGTGGCTTTGCATCTACTCGACTACGGCGCCTCCCTCGCCTGGCAGTGCCCCAACCCGGAGGATCCGAATGGACCCAATCAGGGCTCGGGACGCCACCAGGCCAATGTGATCCAGACTAGTGGAGGCGGAGGCTCGTCAAGTCCTCTCGACCCCCTGGGTCCGCAAGGGCCCCAGGAGTCGGGTGGATCCCAGCAGGGCAGCGGGAAGAGTAAGTAATTCAAAGCCCTTTCGTCCTCCGTCACCCCATATCCTAGCTTCCACATTTCTTAAGTCTGAAATCGTAATATAACGCATTCGTATTGTTCAAGTTCGTACCATTTGCAGTTAATACTTTGTTGCTGGTACGAATGCTGCGCGGATGCCGAATAACAGACGGCCAAACAATAATTAGATTAAACATGTAAGAATTAATGAACTTTTATTTAAGCTACTCTAATTCATTCTGTGGCGCTATTTTAATAGTCAGTTAATTACGGTCTTTGTGATTCATCCAAAAGCGCCATCTAACGGTCTAATTACTAACTTGTTATACTGTAAAATTAGCAACTCCGTTACTGTCTTTATTCTTACAGTTAGCCAATTGTGGAGACTTATATCACTGTATATATATATATATAATACAGATAGATATGTACCATTTATCGGACCGCTCACACTAACCTTTGCCACTTGGGTTGATTGCGAGATCTATTATATATATTTAATAAACTATAGACCATATCTTGAATATACAACGAAGGTAGCGGGGACCCTACACTAACACCATTAAAATACTCCGCTGATTTTGGGCCTTTAACCAAATCTTTGGCACTCTTTTTGTTCTGCGTAATCTCAGAATGGTATTTTAACTTTTTTCCATCATTTTCAACTTCAATACAATTGCTGCTGGTCCTTTTACATTTTGCACTCACTGTGCACCTTCATGCAGAAGACCATTTTCCACTTCGCCGCGTTTCTGGAAGAGAACGCTCGATTTATTTGGTTACCTATATCTATTGTCTCTCGATATGAAGCATGTGTAATTATTCTCCTCATATCTGACATATCTACCTAAATTGGTGATATTCGACTGTATTTTAATATACGAACGAAGTACTTTGCATAACCGTTGAAAGCTTGCTCAGTAACCTTATTTTTGTCCTTGGCACTTTCCATCTTCACCGGTGTCTTTCAACTGGCCCTCTCTAGTCGATTTATTTCTCATTCAGTTCTATTTGCCTACTCTACACTTTGTTTGTCTATGCATGAGTTGTTTCAACTATGCCCAACGAGAGTGGTCTTTATGACCGCGCTTTGTCATTGCTACCTCGTCCATATGAGATTAGTTGACAGCAAACGTCTCTTCGCGCTAATCCCGTCAGATACTATGTCTGTCCGGTAATTTTTCATAAAATCGCAGGAAGTTTTCAGTGAAAAGCAAACCATGTACGTTTGGTTAAGCACGTATCAATTCCAGGTTTATTAAAATATTCCCAACTTCAAACTTATATTTAAGATAATATACATGATCTATAGTAATTGAACACCATATTGGACGTATGTAACATATACCCTAGCACAATTTTGGTCATTTCCTTTTAACGATTCCCTGGTACATACGTGTGCTCGACTTGACGGACGTTGCAAACTCCTGTTTCGGCAGCGAGACGCCCAAACATTCTTCACGGGGATTAGGCAGACACGATGGTGAAAACAAATCGGTGCATCAGTCCTTTCTTTGGTGTTTTTCCTTTTTTTTTGGCCATTCTTCTTCTTACCATCCCGTTATATCCCGTGTTGCAGCAAATCCTAGTCGTATTCTTCGTTGTTTTCGTACGAAGCTGAATCGCCGATTTCTCCCTGGTGTCTTTGTTCGTACGATACCCGACCCGGCCATGGCAGCCTTCTTAGAACTAAAGAGTAGGAATAACTGCATAAAGACTGCCCTGCAAAGGGTGCATTATACCGAGGCGATGGAAGAGGGAAACCAAATGTTCTATGCAGAAACAGGGCGGTCCCGTGAAACGCTGGCCATGAAAGCAAAAGCCTGATCATCGGAGAGACCCTCTGCCGCTTTTGTTGATCGCAACAGATGTGCGCAGAGGGTGCCGGCCTGGGTGATGCTACAGATCAGACGCGAGGCACCTAGTATTACGTTGGTCTGGGGTGTGCTGATGCTCAAGAGCGAACGGCGTGTTCGCAGTTACGTCCCAAGCAACCCCATTCTTGGCCTCTATCGTTATTATGAACAATGATGACGCTTGCTCTTATCATTGTGATGGTTATCGGAACTCTTGTATGTACCCATCCTGGCGCGTAGGGCTCTCAAAGCCTCCCAGAGTCTCGGTCTCACGAACACTCAAGTGGTCTGGGCGCTTCCTGCATGCCCCATATTCGTTCTCTATCCCTCCTTTCCAAGTATAGTCTCGTATTGTTTCTCGTCGACCCGACTCTCTGTGTATGTACATACAGATACTTAGTACGGCAATGATATTCCGTAATTGATCATTGGCCTCGATTTCCATTGTCCTGTCTCACGCTCTTTATCAACAGCATGCGGGCACACTCACAAACGGCCACATGTCAGTATATTTTTTCAAGGCAATACCCTTCGAGGCATATCCAATTCCCAGACTACAATAAAAACCAACCGTACAGCTCAATGAGTTGACCAAACGATCGATTGATTGGTCTGTCTATTTATAAAGTATGACATAAAGTATAACTAGATTTCTCCTTGAGTATTCTGTGAGTCTAAAAACTGTCAACCACATAGGTTAAATCTGCACACAGGAACCTTGAAGGTCTTTCTTCTGATTCCTATTGTTTTGAATAAAGTGATTTTTGGCCAGCACCTGTTTTTGGAAAACCCTATCTCCTCTCTTACCATCCATTTTTTATTCCGAGTATTCCCGGCGTTTGTATTTACATCTGTGGCGTCCTATTTGTATCAAACTAAAATTAACCTTTGAGTTTTTTCTTGCCTTTCATCTCCAATCATGTCCCGCCCCATCAATTTATTTCTTTCATTCATTCAGTGTATCATAAATTGTTTCAGTTCAGATGAACTCGCGCTTCACGGGGCAGCTCTGCGATTCGTCATTGCATTTTTACGACTAGCGACGAAACTATCGTTCGTCGATGAAATGCTCTGTGTGTGTGTGTGTGTACGTGTGTTTCTATATAATAACCTATAAGAACCAACATGCGTGAATGTCTATAGACCAACGTCTGTCTGGCTGATTCCTTGTAGTTGTCACGAAGTCGCCTTTATATAGTGAGTGGCGCCCCCTAACCGAAATCGTGGGTCGTGTGGCGGGTTTTTTGTTCGTTGTCTAGAGGTTCTTGTTAGTTGACGACGATTCGTGGTGTTGCTGTTCTAGATACGGGAACGACAAGAAAGACGATGGCGGATATTCGGCGGATCCCAGTCATCCGGGACACGCACTTTACGCCCCCGCACAAGATCGAAGGTTAGGATAAAGTTAGTAACAAACGCCAGGCAGCGACAGCAGAAATGGAAAAATTCGACAAAAAAAAAGAATAGCGCCTTGACAACTGTGTATTTTGTATTGTGTTTTTGCTCTGATACCATACAGTTACTACATAAGTTAGTCAATAGTAGTCGTATTACTATACCGTCTTCCTGTCTGGCTAGTTAGGTACACCGCAGCATCAAGCAATCACGCTAAAAGTTGTAGACTTCAATGTTGGACAAAAGGACTTCAGCGACGAGTGCCTGACGCTGCGAGATCAGCCGATGTGGCGCCAATCAATCGGTCTGATGGCAATAACAAATTAGTTTACTAATCAATAGAAGCGCCGCAAACTATTTCTGATTCAATAGTTGGTGTAATGTTGAATACAAACCTAGGACATCTATTCCTCTTTTCCCTCCAGTATAACTCGCATGAAATTTGCTGTTGTTACGGCTGCTGCTGCTGCTGCTGTTGCCTGTTATTCGCTACAAAGAGCTGTGTAATGCGTATGCCTTCAATACGTCTGCTCAAATTTGATACGTTTTTGTGTAGGAACTCGCTATTACTAACTGAGGATTGTCGATGAGGCGATCAACCCGACGTCGGACTGGGATTTTAAATGTCTTGCTGCTTCCAGCTAATTAAGTAAACTTTACTTAAAAGTACTTAAGTAAAGCTTTACGTGTCTATTTCGATGGACCGTCACGGCCCATCAGTGGACACGAAAATCTCCCATACTTTCGATAATACAAGACTAGCTATTTTATAATTTGCTCTCATAGTCTTCTAAGTACGAGCTTGATAACCCATAGTGCGTAGTGGCTTGATAAGACAGACAGGCAGGCAGGCAGGGTAGATAACGAAGATCTTCTGCTCTTCTAGTCGTTGTATTCTAGCGGTGTAAACGCGCCATAGAAAAGCCATCGTAAATGAATAATGGCTCCCATAGCGCTCCCAAAAGTAGAAGCAGTCGAAGTATCAATAGTCTCTAAATAAATGCCATCAACCATATTTATTCTCTTTAATATTATTGCCGTTTGAATCTTGCCCAGGAAATATTTCTCATATTCCAAGGTTACCATAAATTTTACTGCCTCGCTTTATGCATCGGTAAGACTCCGCCAAGTCGCGCGCGTCCTCTGAGCTGCATTTGTCCGCTCTAGGCGACCCAATTGCTTCAAATGTCTTCATGTGTCTTTTGTCGCGTATTTTTGAATTATTATTATTATTATTTCCGTATATTGCATATTGTACCTTGGTCTTGCTCGCATCTTGCTACTGCTGCCTGGAATGCGCTTCCATGACCCTTTCTACCTTTTAGATTTCTTACAGACCCTCAACCACTGAAAAGTTTTAGAGTATATTTTTCTCTGCCGATGCTTGCGTAATCTGATTTCGGATTGCATTTTTATTTGTTTTGGATACTCTTTGACTCCAGCCCTCGCCCTTTCGATCTCGGCCTTCCATCCACCATCTAGCTGGTAGCATGGTAGATACATCTTTGCGTATCTTCATTTCTATCACCTTGTTGTTGCGTAACATCTACCCCCCCCCCCCCCTCCCCCCCTGAGTTTGCCCTCCGTTTGTTTGCCTATCCAAATCTAGTTTGGTTTGTTTCAGTTCAAGCAGCCGCAAGCGCTGTCGTCGACGAACCGAGTGCTGAAAATGATCCATTTAATTTCGATGGCCTCGACAACGTCGATGGCGGTGCTGCTGTTATTGCAGTGCCTGTTCTAGCCCGTACCACTGCGTCTGCTTCGGCTGTTTCTAGTCGCAGTAGGCCCACTGATCGAATCGCTAGCCTGACCCCGCCACCGGGGGTCTACCGCCAGCTTCCCAGAAGCAGACGCCGGCCTGCACCCCAAGCTGTTGCTGATGCTGATTCCGCTCGTCGTGATAGCCACGATGAGGCTGGCGACGCTAAGGCCATTAATGCCGAGCAGGCGATTTCCGAGTCGGCCACTGCCACTGGCTCTGCTGTTACTGATTATGACAAAGCTGCTGATAATGTTGATCATGGTGATTATGAAGTGTCGCTTAGAATGATGGCTGCTGATGCAACAATGTGGTTGTTCCCCGTTGATGTATCATACCCCATTGTCTCCAGGCATGCCCGAGCCGTCGAGAAGTTGGACAAATCCGAGCCATACTCTGGTCCAGAATCACCCGACTACCCGGATACAGGTACACGAGGTCATTGAATCTGCCGAAGTTCCCTATAGCATCATTCGATCGCCGGCTAAACCGGGTAAAGAGTAAAAGCTCGATTAGCGTACATATAAAATTAGTCCACACTTGCATATGCATCATATTTTTCAAGAGAGGCCATTTCAGTGGAGCTTCACAACTATTATAGCAATATAACCAAGCAAGCTAATAAACCAAAGCGAGATGCCTGATAGTTCGAACCAACTACCCTAGACGGTGCTCGAATACTACTGACAATAGCCGGTAATATTAGCACATAACGCACGATTTTTCCCTCGAAAAAGCTCACTCATGTGTTTTCCTGCTTAGACAAAACATGTACCAGTAATCATACCAGTAATTACCCAAGTAACCAATCAATCAATTACCCACTTTTTCACTAGTACTAACATTAACCGTAGTTGTATGTGTTTGTACTTCTACAATTAAACCCCCTTTAGTTGTAAGCTATTGATTGCTTGATTAGTAAGCAGCAGGACGTTCCACCCGCAATGGATGTACACTGGTGTACAGATAGGATATCGGTGCATTGCCGTCGTTACGTTTTTGCGTAGGTGGCCGAGAATGTTTGCGCATGTTTTTGTGTGTCACTGATTCACGCATAGCCTTTACTGATCAAGGCATAGTCACGTCTATGTAAAGAGCCTAGGCCTGCTGATATATAATAATACATGTTTGAATATGACGTAGCGTCTCATTGATCTAATAATTAGACTTGTCGGCTTGCAAAATAGTGAAAAAAAAAAAAAAAAAAAAAAAAACGAATTTTGTCACGGTGCTTTTTGGTGTGGACACACGATCGTGCTAGTATAATACAATGATACAAATAAGCGAAATCTACTGCACCCAATGCATAAAGTGCGTAGACAAAACAATTTTCAGGTATTGCTCAGTTATAGTATCTATTTTAACTAGATTTTATTTTTATTATTAATTAGGTTTTATCAGCCTTTGAATTTTATACCTGCGCTAATATTTTACTGATGTTTTTCGTCGCTTACTATCGCTCGGCCACTTTACAGCCGCGTTTTCTGGGAATTCTGGCAGCACCTGCGTGAAGTTGATCCAAAACGACATGCGGCGTTGTTACAATAGATATCAGCGTCAGGAGTCGGAGTTGAAGAAGCAGCAGTCACGGGCCAAATCGACGAGCGTCGCGAGTGACGCCCAGCAAGTGGACGCTAAACCTAAAGTTTGCTGGTAAGTGGCATAGGCTCGAGTAAGCTGGCTTTCTTTGCTAATACCTGTCACGAGACGAACGCTATGATCAGTTGACGTGTCTGGTGGAACTTATTTCGATCTTTGATTTTCTGTTTATCCATGTTTCAGTGCGTTTGGCGCATATGCTCATTGTCTACAGACGGCGGTACAGACGCGCTGCAGCCAAGATCGTGAGGCACTTGTGGACACAATAATTGCGCAGACTCTAAAACTAATTGGGGGTCATTGTGAAGAGTATTTTTACGGCAGTCCGAAATGCTCATCGGGCGTATCGCCTTTACTCACGTTAACATCTTCTTTCATCGTTCTTGTGGCCCTATTCGCGACCCTGCCATCTCTGGTCGTCCGAACAGTGTTCCCATAAGAAAGTTCCTGTCGACCGTTGTTAATTATATGAATCCCAGTTATCGCTTACTATTGTTCCTATGCGGCAGTACGTTATAGTTATGCTATTGACAAGCTCCAACTGACCTTCGGTAGTTGGTCGAGGAACAACCGTCGAGGGTCATCCACGCACGACGTTTACAACGATAACCAGTTAGAACATCGGGAGCAGCATCAACAGCATTTCTGCCACACTTCAACCATCGAACCCAAAATGTTATTGCTTATTGCTTGTAGCTAGGTGTTACTTGGGTCAAGATCACTGATCGGTGGGTTCATTAAATGCACGCGTACATCAATTCAAACAAGAACATTGGTGAAGCCGACTAGCATGCAAGAGTGATGAAATCGTAAGCAAAAAGTAATTACTGGCGTATGGAGGCTCGATCACTTGAACGAGACGCTACGTTAAAACTACGACAGCAGGTGCATGACGAACGATAAAGATGCACACGCATCCCTGTCATTCCCAAGGGGTGAGGGGCAATTGCTTTGTTCGTCGAATGGCATTCTGACATACATAGGCAAATAGAAAGAAAGAAAGAAAGAAAAACGGCAAACTATTAGCAGCACCAGAAACTGTACGCGGATAAGGAGCACGAGTAACTTCGAAAGATCTGCTTCGACAGTTGAAATAACAATAAAGGCGTGAAGTAATCATAATGATGATAATCAGATTGATAACCGAAGTATGAGACGTTATAACCATTGTTAATATCAATAATATGAAATTCGCAGTAGTCAATTGAGCGAAAACGTACGATGACGACTCGACGATGACACTGCCCTCCTGAATGTACAACGATAAGTTTGCGGACGTCTTTCTCCTTCATTAGAAACAAATCGTAAATAACACAAAAGCGGCCAGTCTCGCATTGACACCATCAGTGGATGTCGACCAAACGATCGATGCCGCTGCACCAACCTGGCGTAAGCTTGAGGCCGTACACGCTTCGGGTAGGACAAGTGATATTCTAATGGCCTGCACAATATCGTCGGGCGGCGGACAAACACAAGCGACTCGGTTAAAGATGTCCGGAGAGCTACTCCAGCATGTAACTGGGCATAGCAGTTAACAGAAATCAGAGGTGATGGAGGGGGAAGAGGTTCCGTGTGAATCAAAGGAAATGATAGGAAAATAAAAAATATTGCCGTTAAGCAACACGTACACACGCCTGCATACGCACGCATATATATATATATATATATATATATATATACAAACACATCTATACACAAATGACTTGACCGATACCGAAGATAGGCAAACTACCTATAGCACGGATGGAGTTTGTTGACCCGTTGAAAATGCTAAGCACGCAACGTTCATATTTGCCAGGTAAATAGCGGCTGGCTAAATACAAATAGCGTTATGCAGATCGAAAGGTTATTGAAACTGTGGAAAATGGTAACAATGATAGCAAGAAAACCGCCGATGCCGTATAATTCAAGAGAGAAACAGAGCCCGAGTTTTAAACAATGATATATATATATATATATATATATATACCATGTAGCTTAAAAATAATAATAAGAATAAAAGATTAATGGCTTAGGGAAGGTTCGAATGACTGAGTGAGACAGGAAGATAAAGAGAGCGAATGAAGGACACGAAGCCCTGGTATATATATATATATATATATATATATATATATATATATATATATATATATATATATGTGTGTGTGTGTGCAGTGTAAATTTCGAGAAATCATAAACCTCTATGGGGTAACCTTCAGCAGAGTTATAGGTAGAGATAAGACGAAAAGGAAGCGCGGACTGCTGTGAGGAGCCCATGTTGCCGACCGAGATGCCCATAGTGTATCCTTGGATGTTTTCCCGTCAGCATTTTTCCCGTCATGCGCGAAAAGATTGAAGACACTCCATGTAAACAAATCAAACAAGTACTAGCATTGCTACTATTAATAGTGCTGTTATGACAAATACTAACTGATAGATAAACACAAAATAATAAACTAATAATTCAATTAATCTGCGCGGAGCGAGAGCATGAAAGAAGTGTGCGGGGAAGGATGAGCTCTGTGATGGGTCGTCTGACCGATTAGAATCTGAATGATGTGGGTATATTGTCCATCTCCAAATTCCCTATGACGATAATAATGGTACTAACCAGCATTTACGTCATGTTCGCTATATACATAAATATGCGGAGCTCCCTCTCGTCTTCGATGCCGAAACACAGTTCAGGCCGTTGTAAGTAATTGTTGACAGGTTCACAAGCTGTTGATTTAAACGGCCCCGCCCTTTTTGGCGTTTACATCATCCAATCAGATTGTTCAAAGATGATCCACTTTCGAACGTTTCATCGGAGCAGTGTACTGCCCCATTGAGTTCACACGATTCGCAGATATCACCATTTGTATTTGCTCGCCCCCTCATAGTAGTTCTCAAAGCAAAGAGTTTCTCAAATATCGAGCATTTCCATTTTATCACGATTGTTACACTTGTCTGTAGCTAATTAGATAAGCTAGCCAGAAAAAGCACGATATTATTTTTCCATTAGATTCACTCTTCTATGGGAGCTACGACTCTAGAAAGCCAAAAATGTTGTTTTTGAATAAGTTAAGGATAGCAACTGCATCCGTTCTGTGCTTTTTGTTGCCTGGTATACGCTTGAGGATCGTGATCTTTTTTTTTTGTGTTTCTGTTGTTGTTGCAGCGTATGATTTCTTTTAAACATATTGAACATGGCCTAATATATACCTACCTCTCCTACCTAAGGAATAATATCCTTGTTTCCCCACTCCACAACTGTTATTTTATGATTTTCTGCGTTAATAGAGCAGCTTAGTGTGATAAGTGGTCCTTGTAATCACAATGTCGATACTACTTGGAATATGTTGAGAAACAACAATTCATTAATTATTATTATTCCATAGTCTACTCCTAGAAAAAAAACGGCGCAGCAAATATACGATAAAGAAAATGACGCATTTTATCAGTAAAATGGTCATATTACTATGTAGAATTTTATTCTTCATTTTGCATCTTTGCAGAACGTGTCAGACACTTCTACACACAAACATTCCTCCGCTGCTCTAAGTTGACGCATATTGTTTGACCCCATGAGTAGTCATTTGTCAAGTTACTATTCTTGCACGCAGGTGACAATGATAATAATAATAGCGACCTTATTGAATGGCAAAAGGAGAAGTGCTACTTAATAATCTTTGTTAAGATTTGTTACTGCATTACGGCTATGATCGCTTGATAATTTGCGATCTAGCGCCCCTTCCCACGTCAAGGTTGACAAGGTGACCCTGAGGTTATTCGACAGCGTTAGCAGTCGCTTTTTTGTGCGTGTGAATCCGCGGAACGATGTCACGAACGTCAAGTTATTTCTGGTCACACCCCCGTAGACGCACACACACATGCACACACTATTGCATAGACGCACGCTATTTGTTGGAAGGAAAAATATGCATCATTTGGTTTCTAAGTTGACACGTGCCAGTATCTTTTGCGTTAATCTTGCTTGTAGCAAACGTGGCGCATCATTGTATTTGAAGGTAACAAAACAGGAGTGTGCCTTCGTGACGGAAGGTCCCGTCTGCTTCAGCAGGTCAAATTTTTTTGCTAAGGAAAATACAACCTCTGGACTGGGCTGTACCACGGAACCGTGGGTTTCCTTTCGGTTTCTAAGTAATAATCCAAACAACCATACGAAGTCTGCTTGTATGTGAACCGAAATATGTATATGAGCGGAACGACTGGGTTTCCTAGTAACCTGGTTGCATCTCGAACAAATTAGGGTACTCCAAAAACCTAGCTGGTAATAACAGCGCCACCTCGATTGGCTTTGCTCGAGAGTGGAAAGTGCGACCCAAGGCGCAGAGCTATTCATAGGCCCCATTAAGGGTTAACGGTGAGGTTTTTGTAAAGTTGAATAATATTCGTAGATAATAATTTATAAACGATTCGTGTTGATGTTTATGGATCACTCGATTCTTTCTGCCCATTTTCCAAACTGTGTCAGTTGTATGGCCAGTAGGATTCCCAAAACAAAGTGAGGGGGTTCACAATGGCGCGAAGAAATTTGCTGATGGACAGATAACACAAGAGGCGAAGTCTATACATAGCATACAGTCCCTATGCTTGCCATCCCCTTTCTCTTGTTCGTTCTAGATGGGCTCGAGCCATCGTGTGCTGTGCTAAGTCCTCGGATCCACTGCACCTCAAGAACATGACCAGTACAGTTTATAATGTATAGCAAATTTGCGGCAAAATAACAAAGTGAAGGGAAGAAGGTTGTACAAGAACAAAGTTCATGTATAAGAGTACATGAAGTATGAGAGGTTCAGACACCAGAGGTCAGTACCGGTTATAAACAAAAGGAGACTAATGCAAATTGTACTGAAAATAAGTTTCTATAAATAGGCTATGTAATATATCTCTGAGTTTTACGAGATGATGGCCCGTCTCCTGATGCGTGTTCTGATCCGCACTAGCCCTATCTTCCTTCACACAGGGATAAAACATTTAATTAACTACAGTACTAACAGAACAATATAAACATGCATATAAATATATAGATCATCTTCCTTTAGATCATTCACCTTCAAGAAAAAACTTTAGAAAGGTGCGGATTCATATTGGCCTATAGAAGCACAAAAGGACTCTACTGAGATGTTTCAAAAATGCGTACACATACACAGAGTAATTTTCATGACAAATTACGATTCCAGTTTTGTGTTTTCCATTCACGTAAAAGAAAAACGATGTACTTAAGCAATAGACGAAACTTTAGAGAACCTCAAAGATGACTATAAAAGCAGAGCGACTGAGACCGCTACCGTGTCTGCCAGTTCATGCCCAAGCGTTCCCAAATCGAGCGAAAAGAATTAATTATAGCCAATGCATCACAATACGCTAAGGTGCGCCTGTTGGGCTAAATAAAAAGCAAAACACCCAAGATATGTATTGTACAAGACTAAAAACTCCTCAGATCATACGAAGCAATCACGTGGTAATAATATAATAACATGATTGTGCCCCACCCCTCCCGCCGCCCCACAATCGCGAACGACCTGTGCTCACGACTTCATTTTTCGTATGGTTGGTATGAAATCGATGAGGTAAAAGAGAAACCGACAGGACAAACGACTAGGTTTAGGTTTACCGCAATGTACTGACACATAACTGATTTATATATTAGTGTTAAATAAGCTGTAAATAAATACATAACGATGATAATACCACTAACAAACACATTATGGTTACTATTAATATATATATATATACATACATATGTATATATTACAATGATGATGGAGGCGGATGGACGCGATTCCCGGTTAGATGACGTTGCCTATAGGTGTTTTTATCTTGTCAAAAGGACCCAGTTGAACGAGAACGCTGCCGTAAGTAGGATTTGCCAACGATAAAAGGCAACGAAACTGATTTACTTAAAAATGTAAGAAAAATTACTGAACACTAAAATATAAAATACCGGACAGAGTCGATTAGTAGTGCAGATATAACTTATTATAACAGCAAAACACAGATAATTCTACAATTGCTCGTCAAGAATATACGGAAACAAAGTTAACGATGAGTATATTACTAACGTGCATGTAACAGCATGATTACAGGAGGACAAGCACCCTTATTTAAAACGTTATCCTGTAGACAATAAGTATGGCCTTTTACTGCACAGAAACGGAAATCTCATGTAATTCTAACCAGAACCAGATGATAACAGCGCCGCGTAATAAGCTAAGCACAACGATAGGCCGTGCTCAACTCTACAAAACAAAAAAAAAAGAGGAAGCAAGGCCTAACCATGATGAAGAAAAGGCGCGGGGAAAATGTCAGGAATAGCAGACAAACAAACTATAAAAAAACAAAAACATTAAATCTGTAAGGAAATGACTATTGTGAAGTTGAAATAGCATACGGGTATCTACGCTGCTGTGACTGTCGACCGATTCTGCTGTCGCCCCGGATTTAATCTACTGCAGATTCCCTTACACACGGCCGTATATGCAATTAGGAACAACTGAAAAAACGGTTTTTTTTTTTATTTTTTCGTTGACGAAATTGAACACAACAAACTAACGTGGATCCTGAAGAAGGGTGTTGTTATTAACGTGTCGGGACGTTCGTAGTTGAGACATAAGCAGTTTAATGCTGATAGAAAAATAGTACCGCCTAAGGAAGTACATGCTGTGTTATGTAGATGATACGGATGAAACAATTAACGGGTTGGATGCGGAAATTGTCACAGCAAACAGATAAGTTTGGATACGCTATCTAACATTGGTCAATATACAAATGACCGCTAGTGAGTCTGCAGTGGGCCAGGTCGTTACTGCGAATATTAGGAAGTCCTCTCATTTGCTGGTTTCTTTGTAAACGTGGAAGGCAACAACGAAGCAAATAAAGCGCAAAGCACGGAAGATCGGGCGTACAGAAACAAACAGATTGATAAATTAAGGTAATGCGCGTATGAGCGTCCACTGTCCCTGCAAATATGACGACAAAAGATAAAAGCAATAAAAATAGAAATTATTTGTACAAAATAGAAACAAGCTTTGTATTTTATACTCCTATCTTATATGTTGGATATATATTATTAAGGGTTTGCAGCGTCCTATGGGTGATGAGCTTAGCTAGTGGGTCGCAAATGGT